CCTGTCCCCTTCTCTGATTCTTCCTTGTGTGCCCTGCTCTCTGGCTGCCACGATGGGGGCCACTTTCTTCTGCCAATCCCGCTGTGATGTTTCTGCCTCAGAGCCAGTCAACCATGAACTGATCCCTCAGAATCTGTGAACCAAAATAAACCCTCCTTGAAGGTGTGTATGGAAGGTAGTTTATCCCACAAATAGAAATCAAACTAATACAGGCCCTATAGCCTTGATCTATAACCGCCTTCTAAAACGCCAATGACTATGTCTTCAGGTAGGTACCATTCCAGCATCACCATCACCAAAGTTAGAAAAAGTTCACACAAAAGAAGATCATGAATCTTAAAAGAAGAAGGAGTTAACCAGGCAGAAGTCATCAAACCCTGTCTGGTAGAAGAGGCTGTGTGAGCAAGGGCAAGGATCATAAACCAGGAGAGAGAGCGTTCCGGGTCTGGAGACTCAGCTGAAGGTACAGAGAGCAGCGACGCGATGAGGTCCGTCACACCATATTGGTCCGCTGGAGTCCCTGAATAGAGTTGAGATGTAAGAGTCCTCCTGTCCTATGTCCTACAGAAGAAAGAGCTACAGACATCGTGGGTGTAACTACGTCTGACGTAGTCTACTGTTTCTGAGATAATTCTGATTTCTGTAGCAGACAGTTCAAAGTCCCCACTAAGAGTGTGAATCCACCTCCTGCAGGCTAGAAGACTGTTGAGCGTCCCTTGTACTTCATGGGACATTAAATAATGTTAGGAGTAGACTTCTGGACTGAAGCAAAACTGGGAGGGTTTTCACTGGACAAACTTCTTAAAAAACATGATGACAGTGTATCGTGACAGTTGCTAAGGATACAAAATCAGGTGCGAGGCTGTCACTCATGCAGTTGAAAGATTCGTAGAGACACCAACAGGACAAAGTCTGCTGTGTTGGGTGATAAGAAGCAACACAAAGTGCCCCAGAGCACAGAGGAGGGCACAGCAGGCTGTGGGTTTGGGCTCCACGGTGGGTGCAAGTCTTGACTACCACTGACTTCTGGGCACGAAATGCATCTTCTTGGAGCTTCATTCTCCTTGTCTGCCAGATGAGAACACTGGCTGGTGTCCAAGTAAGCTATTCTCTTTATAATTAAGTCATTAAAAATACAATCATTTTATGACACTATTCATTCAAAAATATTCAACTTCCGAAGTTCAGCAGATGGAACTGTAAGGTAAGCATAGATGTCATCTCACAAGCCCCGCGCCTCCGAGTGGAGAGCTTCCTCTGCTCTATTTAGATGCGCTGAGACCACACTTTGCACATGAGCATCTGAGTCTGGAGATCCCCGTAGGGGACTCCTAGCTGCCGGTGGGAGGAGGAGGAACTCCACGCTTCTGAGCAAAACTCTCAAGTCCGACTGGTCTTGGTCTTGTTCTGACTACAAGAAAATAACTACAAGAAATGACTTTGGTGCTTCAATCTCTTTATCTGTAAAATGTGGACACCAACTGCCTCCACGTTTTGAGATGCTAAGAGCAGTGAATCACTTAACACATGTAGAATGTTTAGGAAGATATTTTGGCACATGACAAATATTCAGTGGACATAGAAGAGAATCCTAGCAACTTACAATGGATGTAAGTGAGGTTCCATCTGTTTTTGTTCAGACACGTGACACTTCCTACAAATGAAAGTTTATGCAATTACAGTTAAATGTTGTAAACCCTAGGGCAACCACTAAAAACATTTTTAAGTGGTATAAATGATAAGTGAATTGAGGACATAAAATAGAATCATAAAAAATGCTCAATTAACCCAAGAGAAGGCAGGAAAAGAGGTAAAAAGAAATATAGAACAGATGGAAGTAATAGAAAACAGTTAGCAAGATGGTAGATTTTAATCCAACCGTGTCAATAAGCACATTAAGTAGGAATGCCCAAACACATCAGTTAAGCAATAGATACTGTCAGATGCTTCCAGCATGAAGTCAACTGTAAATGTAAAAATACATCTAGATTAAAAGTAAGGAGGAAGGAGAAACCTTGTAAAGACTAACCCACACAAAAGCTGAAGTAGCGATCTTGGTGTCAAACAAAACAGATGTCAGGAAAAGGAACGTCAGGGATAAAGAGAGACATCACATAATGATAAATGAATCCATCTTGCAGAAAGACTTACAACCCTAAGTGTGTGAGGGTTGTGTGCCAGCAAAATTGCAAAGTATATAGAACCAAGTCAAATCGAATAGAACTGAAAGGGGACACAGATCTGCAGCTGTAGCTGGAGGTTCGGTTACCTACTCTCCTCTCGGCAGAGCCAACAACATACAGAGAAGACTGGGGAGCCTGCAGAGGTCTAGAGCAGCACTCTCAACCAGTTACCCTAATTTGCATTTATGGACCATTCCAGCACAAAAGAGCAAAGTGAACTTTTTTAGGTGCACGTAGAACATTCAACAAAGTAGACAGATTTCGGGTTCCCAAAATAAACTTCAACACAATTCAACATAAAGATTATATAAAAGATATTCTCAGACCAGACCATGGCGGAAATAAATCAGAGATAAATAATTAAAATCCACCTAGAAAAATCTACAAATATTTGACAATTAAACAACAAAATCCCAAATAACCCCATGAGTTTTGTGAGACATCTGAAAAAAGTTTTAAAATGTTTTGAGATGAATGAAAGTGAACACACACCTCAAAATTTGTAGGATGTAATGCAAGAAGCTCTACGTGGAAATACATAGCATAAAATTGTTATAACAAAAAGAAGAAAGCAAGTCAAATCTATAGTATCAACTTTTACTGTAAGAAACTATGACTAGAATAGCAAAATAACCCTAAAGGAAGCAGACACAACTGAATAATAAAAATAAGATCAGAAATAAGTAAACTTGAAAAGAAGAAAAATCATTAATGGATGCAGAAAAATAATTTCATAAAATTCAACCTCTGTTGAAGGCAAAAAGTTTCAGCAAACTGGAAATAAAAGAGAATTTTCTTAACCTGACCAAGTACACATGGACCATCAACCAGGCTACAGCTGTATCACACTTGATGATGACAAACTGAGTCATTTGCCTTCTTTTCAGGAACAACATCATTCTGGAAGTCCTGGCCAGTACGATAAAGCAAGAAAAAATAAGAGGTCACACATCCAGAGAGGAGGGGTAGAGCAGAGAGAAACTATCTATATTAAAAATGCCATGATAATCTGCACAGAAAATTTCAAAACAGTCTACAAAAATACTTTCAAACCAATACAAGAGCTTAGCAGGGTCAAAGGATACAAAGTTAAGAACTGAAATTTAAAGTTTTACCAAAATATACTCACCATAATGCTAAAAAAACACTGAGATTATAAATTTTGAAAACTGTGGTTTTACTATACTAAAAGTTCTATAAAACACTGACAAGAAAAGTTAAAATCCTAAAAGCACTTCAAGACACACCATGTTAATAGATTTTAAGATTCAGTATTGCTGAGAGATCAACTGTCCCCTATCCAATTCTGTCATGTGCCTTTTTGTAAGTACCACACAGGCCACGCTAAAATGTGTGCAGAAAAGTAAAGGTACCAGAATACACAAAACAACTTAGAAAGAGAAGACAAAGGTGGAGGACATGCCATGCTTTATTTCAAGACTTATGGAAAGCCACAAAGACAAGCACATAAATCAGTGGACAGACGAGAATGGAAATGGCTCCACACAGATAAAAATACAGTCAATTTACTTTTTATAAAAATACAAATGCGATTGAAGAAGAAGCAATAGTGTTTTTAACAAAAAATGCAGGAACGGCTGCAAATAGGCAAAAAAAAAGCCTTACTTTTATCCTATATCACATACAAAAATCTACATCTTGGGCCAGGGATTTAGCTCAGTGGTGCCGCCACCTGCCTTGCAAGCACAAGGTCCCGAGTTCAATCCAAAAAAGAACAAGCAAAAACAAAAACAAAAACAAATCTACATCTTATATAAAAATTAATTCTAAATAAATCATAAACACAAATTTAAATGTAGAATTATAAAAGTTTCAGGAAATCTGTGTGAACTTGTTTTAGGCGAGAATGTTTAGTATTATCACAGCAAGCATAGTATAATATATACCTTCTCAAAATTAAAAATATTTTCTTTGCAAAGACAGAGCCACTTATTACAGACAATATTTGCAAGTCACATTTTTGGCAAAGAAATTTTTTTATAAAGGACTCCTAAACTCATCAGTAAGAAATCCAAAACCCTAACAAAACATAGATGAAAGACTGAACAGACAATTAACCAAAAAAAGTTATATGGGTGGCAAATAAGCCTACAAATAGATGTGCAAGGCCATTAATCATAGAAAATGCAGGTGAGTCGGCCCCAGGTAACTATGCATCTGTTACTGCATGGTTTTTAATGACAATACCAAGTGTTGATGAAGATATCAACCAGCTAGAACTCTAATGTCTGCAAACTGAATGAGCTGTGGCCAACTCCAGGCTCACAGAAACAGAAGTAAATTTTAGGGTGATTTGCTACACAGCAGTAGATAACTAATAGCATTTTGTGACCTATTATATTTAAATACCATTTTATACTTATATTTAAGGAAATTATAACATAATACCCTAGAAGTCTGGAATCCCACTGTTGTTCCTCTCGGAGAGAATGCTCAGCAACCCAAACCTGTCCCTTAGAAACTCTTTAAACACTGAAAAGCTATCTTCATAAGTTGAGAACTTTCCATATTTAAGGGACACTTTTAAAAATTGTAATTGATATTCTCATTAGTCTTCATAGATCTGTGAAGAACTGTGAATAACTTGACACCTCTTGCTTGTCTGCATTTGCCAAATGTCCCTCAGAAAATACATCTCACTTTTGTCCTCGTAACCTTGTATTAATCATTCAAGGCCTAACCCAGATATCTCTTCACCTGAGACCTTCCCCATCTGAGACAGGAGTTGGACAGTCCCTTTCTATTGCCTGATGAGCTTTCTCTTTCCTAGCACAGCTCCAGTGACTGACAACTCACCTTTCTCCTTTGTCTTCCCTGCCGGATGGTCTGGGCTCAGCTGTTGTCACGTGCTGTGTCTGGCAAAGTGTCCACACTCAGAGCAGGCGCTTGGAATAACTGGTGGGGCATGAAAGGATAAGCAAAAGATTTTGAGAACCAGCATTAAAAATGGGGAGATATTAATTAATTGATGTTTAAATGGTTGACTACTGCTGTGATTGTACAGGCGTCATCCTGGCAGTATATTTGTTAATGAGAATACTCTACATGTCACCTTTGCTTAAATCGACCCTTTTCAGTGGTTCCCATTGCTCTCCGGTGAGCACTGTAATTGTCCCAGCCTGCTACTGCTCATGCCCAGCACAGTTCATCCTTTTCAAACTCCCCATCCCACCCAGGCCCCTTTCTTTCTGCCCTGGACCTGCCCAAGCCATAGGACACTCGCTTGCCATATTTTCGCCACCATTTTCCAGACTGCTCTTTTTGCCAGCCTACGACAGTTCTCTGCCTATTATAGTCTCATTTTGTTGTGCTCTCTGCACATATAGTTTTGTCCTCACTTGTGCAATCACTTGCTAGTCAGCAAACTATCAGATAGCAAACGTCATGAGAGGTGAAAGCGCGCTGTGTCCTCATGAGTGGCTGGGCGTTGCAGTCACACTGCGGCCCTCTTAGTGTATCCAGACTCATTTATACCATTGGAGTCTCAGTTCTCAGTCAGGGTGTCACGTATGAGCAGCGAGTGTTTAAGGTCCCAAGAGCATGGTCTGCAGGTAAATCTGATTAAACCAGGGAAAGCAGGAAGGAAGGAATCCCCAAAACCTGCACCTGTCCTGTCTCAGCATTTCTTCAAAACTCACTCCTCCCTGGTTCCAGGGAAAACGTGAGATGTGCTGGTGGGTAGGCTTCACCTGGAGGACTCGATATATAGGAATCATGTTAAAACTCGGATACTGAGTCCTAAAGACCAAGGAGCTAATACGCACCACTCCGCCCTTCACACGACACTTTGACACAGTAGCTATTAGCTGCGTTTCACGGGTGACAAAGAAGAACACAGGAATCAAGGTGCAGACCGGCACAGTGTCAGGCGGGCACACTGACGGGCACCTGGTGTCCTTCTAAGCTCTACAGGCATACCTGTCTTCTGTTGGAAATGAAGGGGCTTGAAATTCTGCAAGTTCCTTCCAAGAAGTGGAACCTCTCCCCGCCTAAGATAAAGAAGTTTCCACTGTCTTCCGTGCCCTCCCCTCCCGCCCCCTTCCTCCCCACCCAGGCCCCAGCTGCACAGTGTGGACCTGTCATGGTACAGAGCGCTCTGCGGGTCCAGGGTCAGCACTGATGCACAGTGTGGACGTCATGGTACAGAGCGCTCTGCGGGTCCAGGGTCAGCACTGATGCTCTCACTGATATCGTACCTCAGTGTAGGGTCCCAGCTCTCCCCTGGCTGCTGTGCAACTTGGAAAAGTGGCCCAAACGCTGTGCCACATGGAGAGTGAGATCACCGCTGTGTCTAGAGTGCTGAATTCAGGCGTGCAAAGGTTGAGGGCCACACCTGCCCCACATTGGTCCCCAAAAGAGTTGCTGCTAGGAGCACTGGACACAGACTTGGTTCAAGTTCTGGGGCTCCTTTTTTCTTTATTTTGTAAACCCACATTTTTAGTTTATAATGCACATCTTTCCAATTTTCCTCTTATCCATGGAGGGGGTTTTGGCAACACCGTGTGGCCGAGGAATACCTCTGTCCTGGACATTAGGGTCCTGAGGCAGGGACAGGTGCTTGTCTACCAACACGTTAACTTTCACCTGTGGTGTTTGGTCCGTATGCCCTCGGGTCATTGAGGGACAACTAACATGACCACACCTTGTGATTTTTTAAAAAATGTTGACATTTTAGAAGCGCCAGCACAGAAGCACGATGGTTTCTCAGTCTGCAGGTTGAGCAGCACAGCCAGAGGGCTGGGGCTCTCATCTTTCCACCATGGCTACCCAGAAAGCTTGCCTGGATCAGTCTTTGTCCATCCATCATTTTCCAGCTTTAACGCATGAATTCTTCCTAGAGCTGGAAAGCAGCATTTAAAAGGTTGTGGAGCTTCTTAGAGTATAAAAGGTACCTTCCAATCCCTGGCTGAAAGAAGCTATAGAAATGCAAAGGATCCGGTGTGATTTTATCTGCACTTAGTTCAGGTCAGAACGTCAGGTGGGATTTAAGCCCTATCTCTTGCTTCCTTTGCTACTGTGGATTAAAGCTAGTCCATTTTAATGTTCCCAAAATGTAATTTTTTCCAGGGATAGCTAGACATGTGATGCTGAGAGGATTTAATTCATTGTGCTGTCACAGGGATGGTGATGTTGGCTCAATTCTGGAGGTGAGGAGAAAGCCACAGGATGCTAAACGCTGCCACTGCTGCAGGGCTCGCAGTGCAGTTTAATTAAACAGAAGCAGGAGGGCACCTAAGCAAAATGTGAGGATGCCAGGCAGTGCGAGAGAAGGGTCAGCAAAGGTTGAACTTGCAGAACAGCTCCCCGGAGTGGGGCCTTCTCAGGCCAGAACGGATGAGGAAGGGCAGAGAGGTGCAATCAGCCCAGGACTGCTGAGTGCAGTAACTGCTGGAGGGCGATCCTGAGCAAACTCAAAGTATTAAAAACAGGCGCCCTGGGATTAATTGTCATTCCACTGGCCTGTGAGGAAACTGATACCAAATATAATTGAATTACTTTGTAATTATTTCTTCTGGAGTATTTAACCTAAGCTCATCTTTGGAGACAGATTTTCTCTCTCCCTTCCTTTTTTGCTTTGCACTGCAAATGGTTTTGAATTACGGATATTTTTTTCTGCTTTACTGTATTATCTTGTGCAAACTACTCTGGTTTGTTTTCCAGCCTCTTCCTTGCCAATGGGGTTGTTTACTTATCGGAATTAAAGTCAGAGTGAGTGGCTTTTGCTGGCAGGACAGAATTTCTAATAAATATGTAAATAATGCCTTCCTCTGGGTGACTGCGGGCTCTGTTCCCGCATGGCCTACCCAGGCCACGGTCTGGGACAAAGGCAGCCTCACAGAAGAGCCCAGATTTTCATCAATCTGCACATCAGAAAGCAATGAAATTAAATTGGACCTGAGAGAACAAGGGGAGAGAAGAGCAGACAAGGTGAGGGCATCTGTCCTTCGGCTGGAAACATGGGTCATTTTCTTCCACCATGGGTAAAAGTCTCTACAGGTTGACAAAGCCCTCATAAGAAAGGGGACACAGAACGTTCAGCGTGCCTCGGGCAGAGGAAAAGAAACATTCCTCTGTATCCCGGCCATGATCACATCAGTGATCATTGTGGCCAGGCTGTTATCCCACCCGCTACACCTGTACCCGCCTCTCCTGTGTCAGTGGTGAGTAACACCTGGTGTCTACATTACACCCGAACTCAAAAAGTATTTGAGAACAGTGCTATATTTATCCTTCTGCAGAGGAGGAAGTAAAAGCAAACTTCTGCAGCGCTTCAGGACACAATGCCATAGTAAACTTCGCATTGGCACTGACCAGCTCTGTGCTTCTCATACGTAATTGGGTATTTATCCATTCACCAAATGTTAACTAAACCCCTACTCAGCACCACACAGGTCTTAAGATAAAGGGCTACAGTAGGAAACAAAGCACAGTCTCTGTTGTCAGGAACACCCCTTCCAGTGGGCGGGAGTGTTCCCTACCACAGCAAGCTCCTGCCTTAACTGAACTAGTAAATCCCTGGGGTATGAGTCCTAATCAGTCTGTACTGGTCATGCACACAAAATACAGACTCCAGGGCCCTTTAGCTCAGGTTCCAATCCCAGAACAAGGCTGCCTTTGGTTGTGCAGGTCCCTGCTTGCAGCTCTGGGGGACTCAGATGCATTAGGATCCGGTGAGCAGCAGGTGGGAGGGCCAAGACTCTCCAGGGGAGGAGGGAGCCTGTCGGGATTTCCTGACACCCCCGCAGGCCTCCTAGGGTCTGCCCCAAAGCCTCGGGCCCAGAACACGTGGTGTTGGTGACTGTGCCCCTGCCCCTGGCTCCGTTACTCTTCCTTTATTCTCAGGCCCACACTGGTTCTCCTGAATTTGCGGCTTCAGTTAGATGGCACAGTCAGACTCATTTTCCCTTGCTCTGCTTCTCGGTAAAGTCCATGGGGGCGGGCAGCGCCTCCCTCTCTGGTGCTCCGGGTCTTCCGCCAAACTAACGGGTGCTGCGAAATGAATTCCCGGCAAAGAAACCCAGGGCTTGAGTGGCACGGAGTGGCTCTGACGGAACGGCGCACTTGGTGACTGTCTCCATGATGGAGGGAAGAATTAACTGGAGCCATAAATTATGGATTAGCAGTCACTGCACGGAGGAGGAGCGGGTCTGGTGTTGTAAGGGCTGTGTGTTTGCATCGTGAGCACAGCCTCCTGGGGGCTTCTTGCCTTTCCCTCTTCCCTTCTCCCACATCTGACCCTGGTGCCTTTCCCTTTGCTGACCCACTAGAAACGGAGGGAGCTTTAGTCCAGCCTCAAGGAGTAAATGTCGGTAGCAAGTACCTGCCAGAGGCCCTACCAAGAGTGGCTGCTGCCTTTTGGATTAAGGCCATGGCCAGAGAGAAAAACAATCTTGTTACATATTAAACAGCAACCTCCAGGGCCCTGGAGCTGTGGAGGTGGACAGGCCGCCTCCCTTCAGAAGGAGAATCGCTCATTTTGGTGTTCGGCAAGGAGACAAATTTCAAAATGAAATTCCTAATATCACAGAATGCTAAGCAGCTATTAAAATGCTATTTACACAGAGTTTGTAATGATATGGAAAAATCTTGTAACCTTAAGCAAAAAAGTGGAAATAAAAAATGACATTAATATACAGAATAATCTTAATAATGTTTTAAAAGCATAGGGGAAAGTTTGAAGGAAATAAGCCCAAATTTCAGGATGGTAGAATTAGAAATGATTTTTCTTGCTCTTTTTAAAAATGTATGCATTTCCCAATATTTACAACATGAGTTATGTACTACAATTAAAAGTAACATGACATGAGAGTAAAATAATATTTTTATTTAAAATTTTTTTAATTCATTAAGCTTATTGGTAATTTTAGGTATACAATATGCTGACATCCATCATT